GGAACGACAAAGTTTTTAATGCATTAGTCAGAGATCCCTCCGACATCTTGAATAGGGCTATCAAGGAATCGAAGGACTGGATCTAGGCTAACCATACGGAACAGATCCAACCAGCGAACACCCCCAGGGGGCCCTTTTGCCACGAAGAACGTTCACTTGCGCAGTCGATGGTTCGTGGAAAACAGACAACGTCACAAGTGGATTGGGTTGGGTCCTACAGCTCGAGGACGGGACTACAGATCTAATCGGGCTTCAAGGGAACTACCGAAGTATCTCTCCACTGCACACATAACTCCACAACCTCATTTGGGCGATGCGGGTCTACTTCGGAAAAGGTGCTTTTGCTCCACGTTTCTGACCGACTCAATAGAATTAGTGAAGATAGTGACCTCACCACATAATTGGCCGGCATTCCAACCGGAATTGCGTGATTTGGCAGTCTTCAGGGACTCTTTCCCCGAATTATATTCAAACTCATCTACCGGCAACAGGAGAACAATAAGAGAGCGGATTTGCCAGTAAGGACTGCACGCACGTGGAATACTATCTTTTCATTTATTGGCACTTCAGTACCTTATTAGTTTCCTGATACAGACATTGTATTTGCTTAACCGATAATGAAGTGTGTTCGTGACAAAAAAAAAAAAAAAGCTTGATTGATAGTCATTATGACTTATGAGTATTTCCAAACCTCTACGGCTCTATATGACTATCTTCTTGGCACACACGAGCATATATTGACGTTGAACAGAGACAAATTACAATTTTAAGAAGATTCAAGGAAATACATTAAAATCCTTGAGCACTTCCAGCAACCTTAATGAAAACATCTTCAAGACTTGTTTCCGCAAGTCCCCAAGCTAACACTTTGAAACTGCTCTTTGCCTTCTCCACCAGTTGAAACACTTCCGAGATCCGAACTTGTTCTTTTGGGATCTCAAATTTTTGTGTCCCTCCAATATGATAAATCTTCTTGGCATTTGGAGAAAAATCTTGAACCAACATTTCCACATCTTGCTCATGTTCTGATGAGGTTGTCATCGTAAACACATAAGATCCACCATACCTTCCCTTTAGCTCTTTTGGATTCCCTATGCACTTTAACCTTCCATCTACAAAAATCCCCAATCGGTCACATAGAAACTCTGCTTCCTCCATTGAATGAGTTGTGAGAATTATCGCAATGTGTCTTTTAGCACGTCTGATGACCGTCCATAGGTTCATTCTTGACGCTGGATCGAGTCCTGTGCTCGGCTCATCCATATAAACCACCTTTTAAAAGAAATGGATTTGGTAAAATCTTGAAAAACTTCAACCTCTATAGTTGGTTACTATTTGAAATACCAAACATATTTGCATACCTTAGGATTCCCGATAAGTGAAATGGCTACACTTAACCGTCTTTTCATACCTCCACTGTATTTCCCAGCAAGTTTATTCGCAAATTCTCCTTTAAAAAGGTTAACATTCTGAAGAGACTCATCTACAGCCTAGTATGCATAAAATGGATCATCCATGAATTGACACTTCTAGAGTTATACGTAAGAGAAGTAAGACTGATATAAAATACTTGATTAAGATCAAAGCCTTTAAGATTCTTAAGTCTTCCATAAAAGAGCAGATGTTCTCTTCCGGTCAGTGTTTCCCAGAGCAAACTGGTACATGTCGAAATTGAGATGGGTTCTACAATAATGTATAAAGAACATGTAGTCTACTCATTTCAAATATTAGTTTTCAGTTAAAAACTATAAAATTTAACAACAGTTTTCTCTATATAATTCAACAAATATAAAAATTTCAAGAATTTGGATTGTTACTCGTGTTGTGGGCATACACCCATGCTAGTGTATACTTTGTCCATTTCTTTGCATATATCCAAACCTTGGACAAACGCTGCGCCTGATGTTGGTTTCACAAGTCCAGTCATCTGGAAGAAATTACACAGTACAACTTTAGGAGTATGGTAGACGTCAATAGAGGATCCAAAAATCTTTTGATTGGGAACAAATATATTAAGTTATTTTATTTTAACAATAAAAGTAAATTTGTTGTTAAAAAGATAAAGACGTAAAATTATAATTAGTTTAGCGAAAAATAATCGTTGATGGAAAATTATTTAGTCATTAACTGCACTTTTAATCGCAAATTGATTGGGTGGAGTTGGAA